ATATATACTTATATATATTTCAGGTGTCAAAGCTTCCTAAGCAAACTTCTATAGTGGCCCAATTTAGAATCATTATCATACCCTAAGAATTATTGTAAAACTAATAATAATAATAATAATATATTTTATTTGATTTATCATAATTAAGCTGAGATAAACATCTTCTTTAATTATGAGTTAGTAATCCAAATCAAACTTGATATGAAAAATTTTAACAAACTTAAATTTTATTCAACTAACTTATTTAAACTTTCTTATTTATGGACATAACATATGATACACTCTTTTAATTTGATACTATTGTTACTTTTTTTTTATCTTACTCTTTATACCATGTCGTGATATTATCTATCAAGTATGTATTTATCTTCTTCATTTTCTTGCTAAGTGCATATGAACAGTAAGGGTCCATGGTTCAATTTTAGATAAACAATATAGTGGCCATTGCCAGCTCTTCCATATCTCTTTGAATGCCTTCAAGATGTGCTAAGCTAAGCTCTAATGTACAAAAGTGTGAATGAACATGTCGGCTAAAGATGAGATAAGAAAAAGGGTGTGACCACCATTGTTGACAAAATGGAATTTACATATCAACTATGATTGAAAGAATTTTCCTTCTTTTCCATGGCATTGTGTGCTTTCTTCTCTGTACATTCATGTACAATAGGTCCCTCACATTGAATGGTCTTAGGTCAACAACAACAACCAAATAAGAGAACCTCTAATGGGGACTCTATTATCACTTTCACAAAATAAACCATCACATTCAATGATTCATATTCTCTTTACCCTTTCTAGAAATATTATACATATTTCTATCTTGATTCAATTTCATAAGCTGGCTTTGCCCACTGCAAAAGCTCAAGGGTGATGGTATGATTTTGACCCCCACGTGCACACAATAGGCCCACACAATCATCTATGTCCTTTTCCCTTTTTTTTGGTTACTAGTTTTGGAAATTATTGATCATTGTTAATTACCATTTTAATTATTTAGTCCATCATTTTTTTTCTTTATGTGAACTTTGCTCCACTAGTGCATAAATCACGTGCCAAACACGCTATATACATTTTTTTCAAGGATGATTAATTATTATTGAAACATCTTATCGATTATTTTTAATAACATTTCTCTTCTTAATCATATTTTTTTATATACACATTTTGTATTTAATAACACCAACTAACAAGAATTAACAATTTATCAGATTAAATCATCAAAATTAGATGCTTGCTTCGTGTACATGCCATATGATATTTCTTTTCCTAGGATATAAAATATACATTCGAGTTGTCATTCCTCTCACATCGAGGTACCATTATCAATTATAGGGATTGCAATTTGTTTATACCAGTTTAAACAATTAATGGACGAAGCATCCCAATATTCATACAACGTCGGTATGCAACTTGAACAATCTATAATGTTTATGATATTTTCATCATTTTAGTCAAATAATGTGAATATGAACATGTTGATAATAAATATATAAAGATAATAAAGTTAACCAAGAAACGGGTCCTACAAAATTGTATTCTACTTATACATGAAAAATAAGCCTAGCGAAAATCCACATTAATTGGATGATGAACCGAAAATTGAAGTGGAGTATGCCACAACAAGGTTATTATACAAATACTTCACTTTAAATGGGAATATGTTCTTGCATATTATAGCATTTGGACGTGATTATAAACAAGATTTATTTAACAACGAAACAATTGTGATTTGCTTCGTTAATGGATAGGCTGTGTTATGTTTTGTATTTGATGTTCTTAATTAAACTATTTATGTGAGATTACTTTAAATGCTTTATAATTACTTTATTAAGGAAGATTTCTAAAATGTACCAAAATGATTTTTTTTAAAGAATTTAACTAATATGTAGTATGCAATATTAATATAATTTTTTTTTTTACATTATCAACTAATGAAAAATAAGTCATCCTAAATCTTACTTTTTAAATAGTTACTATAAATGTTATCAATTTTATCATATACGAGTGAGAAAGAGACATTTGTGTCCCTTAGTTTATTTAAATTAAATATATTAAAAAAAGAAGATAATTGAGTAGATAGTTATTTATAGAGAGTGTGTTGTAATGTGAAATACTAAAAAGTCTTAATTTAAATAAAAAATATTAGCAATTGAGGATAGAATGATCTAATAAAAAGTGGACACCAAAATGATTATCAAGAGAAATATCCTTTTATATATATATTATAAATACTAGTGAGAAAGATATACTTTGTATCTCTTAATTTCTTTAAATTAAAAATAAATAAATAAAATAATTGAGTAGAATATGGGAAGTTGTAATGTGAAAGACTAAAAAATTTTAATTTTATTTTAAAAATATTTCTTAGCAATTAAGGGAGTATAATATTTTAATAAAAAATTTCTTTATATATAGTATAGAACTATAGATAAATAACAATTGATGATTGGATTTACCATTAGAACATGCCGTTCCAGGTTCCTACATCCAAAGAAAAGCCCGATCTAATTGGAAAGCCCAAATAGAATCCACTTTGCATCTGGGCTCATGTTCCCAACCCCAATCTTTTTCTTTGAGCTAAGCCCAAATAGAATCCACTTTGCATCTGGGCTCATGTTCCCAACCCCAATCTTTTTCTTTGAGCTTGTAGCCTTCGGGCTTCGAATTTTATTCCAACCTTTTCTGACCCAAATGTAAGAACATTTATAGAAGAAGAGCTGATAAATAAATATGTGTATTTATCTTCATTTTGGGTGTCTCTTTCTTTTATTTTGTTTCTGTAATTTTTTTTAGAAACTTATTTTCTTGTAATTATGGTTTTCTTAAATAAATTGTATCGATAAAGTAAATATGTCTTATATGAAAAAGGTATTAATATTTTATTTAATTTCTTTATCATTTTAAATCTTTTAAAATATAATATTTATTTAATCAACGAGATGACACTTGAAAGTAACTGGTTAAAAGATAATCATGGAAGGTAATGAGACAATATTTGGGGCATGCAAAAGTTGTAATGAAAATTCAAGGATATATAATATTGGAAAGCAAGTAAAAAGCAATATCTTTGACCCTTTCTCACAACTTTCTTGGTTAATTTGGGCAAAATAGAAGAAGGCATAAAATCTATATTCTTTTCTTCTGATTATCTTTGTTCAACCAAACTAAGGACTTTCACACCCACCACTTTTTTTTTTTTTTTCCTAATGAAACACTCATTCATACTAAAATAAATGACTCGTATTAATCTCTTAATAGAGAGAACTGTGTCTTTTTCAAAATAACAACAAAAAAATGCACATAACTATGGTACAAAATTTAAAATATCATATTTCCCAATAATATTATTCTCCCATTAAAACTGATTCTCATTTTAGTAATTATTTTCTATCTTAATTACTAAGATGAATGCAATAAATATCATATTAAAATATTAATTTTAATAATAAAAATAAATAATAACAATAATATTATTTTATAATATTGTACTTAAATTTATCGTTTTTAGCATCTATTTAACACAAATACATTTTTTTTCTATAATTTTATTTACTTTAACTTTTAGTATTTATAATTTAAAATAATCTTTTTTAGTTTATATATTTATGTTTTCTTTAATCATTTTTAGTTTCTATCCTTAATTTATTTATAACACCGTTTTTATGTAAGTAACATGAGTTTATTAAATTCATGAGATAATGATGTATTTGATTTATTTGGGTGACAATGAATCACTTAATAGTTTATTATATATTGATTAATAATTTAATCACTCATCTGAATCATACAGTCATAATAAATATTGATTGTCTACAAAATTATCTCGACTCTTCATTTTTTCGCTCTCAAATTATTAAGTAACACATCACCATTTACAAAAAAAACTAAATATATCACCATTGTATAAATTTAATAAGTTCTTATTACCCACAGAAAAATGATATTACAAAAAAATTAACAACAAAAAATAAAAAATTAGAAAATACAAATATAAAAACTTCAAAAAAAATTATTTTAAATTATAAAAACTGAAATATATTTACTTAAAATTATCTCTGTAGATGATAATGAAACAACTAGGTAACACAACACATCATGAGTTGTGTGATAAATGAGAATTCTATTACTATTAAGAATATTTTAAAACTTCTTAAACAACCTAAGAACGACAAGTGTTTGTGTCACCTAAGCAGGAAAATATTCGTGTGTCTTGGACCAAACTTATCAGTATCCCCCTCTTCCTGTCTCCCTATTAAATCTGCATGTTTATCTTAAGCCAAACTAATCAACCACGTGTTAGTAAAAAAAAAAAAAAAAAAAAAAAAAAAAAAAAAAAAAAAAAAGAGAGAGAGAAAAAATTGAAAGAAAAATCTTTGTTCCCTCAAGAAAGTTGAAGAAAAGTTGAAAGTTGAAACAGTCGCGAGCAACAGAGATTGTGATGCAAAGCAGACACGATTGGAAGGTGACATGCACGCACGTAGGAGTAGGAGTGGCACTTGTGTTACAAACTTAAAGAAAAATGCTAAAATATACAAAGAAGGACACGATTTTTAACAGATTTTTCGTGAAAGATTGGACAAATGCAACGTGTGGTAACCATGCACTCACATTACCCTTTGGCCTTGCCTTGCACTTCGCCTAAGCCAAAAGAAAGTACATGCAAGAGAGAGAAAGAGAGACTCGGTCACTGCCTCTGTCTCCAATCATCCACATTCATCATGCCATGTTACTCTCCCTCTTATACTCTTAGCCTCCTCTTCTTCCTCACCAATTCAACAACATGCTAGGGTCACTCACAATGCTGCTCTTTCATACTCAACTCTTCATACATTATTGGGTATGTTTCACATTACCTATGGCTTGTTTGGCTCCCTATAAAACAACTACCCCATGTTGCATTCCTTTCAAGTTTTTCTCTCGCTTGTTTGTAATTTTTTATTGGGTGTGCCCTCGTGGTTTTATGGTGGCCTTGCATTCCTACTCAATCTATCTTTTAAAGAAAAGAAATTCTATCATCTCTCTTTGAATTTGCTAGGGTTTTGCATGTGTGTCCTTGTTTATGGCTTAACTAACCTTCATTTGGGTTCATTAGTGTGTTTGTTGTTGTTGTTTGGGTACCATTGTTTTCTTTTCACTTTTCAACTAAAAAGTTTAATTTTTGAGAATTGGGTACCTGCGAATTTGTGTTCTTTATTTTGCCTCTCATTTTATGACGTTTTTTTTTTGTTCCCCTTAATTTGTTAATAATGTATGATCAGAGATGAATAGGATGAGAGGGGAAATTGAAGAGGGCAAGGAGATTAGCCCAATGTTTCCAAGGTTGCATGTTAAAGATGCAGAGAAAGGAGGGCCAAAAGCACCCCCAAGGAATAAGATGGCACTCTACGAACAATTCAGCATTCCTTCTCAAAATTTTGCTTCAGGATCACCATCCTTATTTCCACTCCCGTTCAGAAACTACACAGGTCCTACAGCATCGAGCCACGTGAGTCAAGTGAAGGTCTCTAAATTTTTGCCTTTAATCATGTCATGTACCCTCTTTATCTTTGTCTTATTTCATAGATGGATGGAACAAAACTCACCTTGTTTTTCCTATTTCTATCCATTTCATAAGCTATTGAGAGCAAGTATTAAGCTTGAATAAAGGTATTAAAGTTGAGTGAATTCATGATGGTACCAGACATTGTCACCTAACTTGGAATTTCTTAACATAATTTAAGTAACATCGCTAAAAAAAATTTTGAAGTGTTCTTAAATGATATTCTAATGAAGCACAAAACTGTAACAACTGTGGAATCTCTCTTCTCTTTTAACATCTTTTTCTTTCCTTATTCTCTTTTTCTCTAATACCTATCTGTTTCTGTTCCCTTTTCTGTTTTGAATCTTCGAATCATTAATATCACTATTTTTTTCTTATGGAAGCAAGGGAAGTAGCAGTGCATCTTTTAACTGTCAAGTAGAGAGCTTAGCCATTGCCACCAATATGCTTTAGATATACTTACATCCCCACTTCAACAATCTATCTTATTTTTGTTTTCTCTATTTCTTCAGTGGAAAGCATGGAGTACTTAGCAGGCACACATAAAGATATATGTGATCATAGTTACAAATCTATATCAAATGAATTTTCCTGTTCATCCTTTGCAGCCATTTTTAATTTTGATGTTTACACTATGATGCAGATCAGTAGCAGTCAAAGCATCCAATTCGGCACCTCCATTGCACCTTCTATTCTGCCTGAGAAAACTCAAACATATAATTCCAGAAGGAATAACTTAACCAAATTCACGGTGAGTCATGAGTGTAAACCAATGAAACCTTCAACTTACTGAATTTAAACTTCTTGTTCTCGTTGTCATTGACTAGTAAACACAATTTGTTTCAGCAAGAAGATTTCATCGATAGTAAGAATTCTCTGAAAACACTTGATGGTGAAGATTCTTTTGTAACTTCTGGTCCTGCATATGCAAAAAAATCATGTTGTAGCATCATCCAAAATAATAAAGATGAAGACAAACTTGCTCGTTGTAATTTGAGCTATTCGCTTAAAAGTCTTGATTCATTTAGGAAGAAGGTGAATTCACTTGGTGTTGTTGAACTGAAGTCAGCACAATATGGGAAGAACCAGATGGCAGAGCATATAGAAGTGAGTCAAATTGATCAGAAGATAGAGGAAGGGCTTACTCACTCGTTAGATGGTTTTGGTGGCATGCCAGATGCATCATCATTAATCTCATTGGTTAAAGGTAAGAATTCTATATCAATGAATAAAGAAAATAGATCTTTGAAGGATGAAATTCGAAGTATTTCAGTAGATAGCTTGAAAACATTGCAAGGTGGCAGTGTCCATACACATGAAGATCATGCAGCTTTTGGGGACAAAATCAACTCAAGGGACCATCACATTGAGAAGCCAACAGCTAGTGATGTTCAAAAATGTCCTGCAGAGTTAGAAATTGGTAGAAGGTTCTTCCTGGATAAGGGTGATAGGAATGAAGATGAAGAGACAAACAGGCATTATGGTGCCTTAAATAAAGTCAATTCGGAATGTACAATGGTTATGGATATTACCCCTGACAATGTTGTAGAAGCTATAGGTGTACAACAATTTTGGAAAGCCAGAAGAACTATCATCAAGTAAGTTTATCTGCCAAGTATTATGTGTTTATGATTTGCCCTTTCTCTCTTTCTGTTAAACTACTTAAATTTACAATTAAACTATAATGAGTTTGTTATTGTTCATAGATAATTTCTATAAGTTTATGATAAACTTTTAGTGAATGGTGACCAACATTTTAATTCTACTACTGATGCAAAACAGTGGAAGGCTTAGGGTTCACAACATCAAAAGTAGGGGTTTCCTTGGGTGAAATAAAGGAATTAAAGGCTCATATGGGATCTGTGGTGCTGGAACTGGTTTGCTAGAAGTAGGACAAATGTTAGGGTCAGTAGGTGATTATTAGGGCACTGTAAATTGTACCCTCATAGAATGATGGTTGTTTGGGATTTGTTGAGAACTAGGAAAATTTTGTACAATGATGGTTTAAGATTTGTGACATTGGGAAATTTATGAAGTCGGGCAAACAAATTTGATTATTTGAAAATGAATTTAACCTGGTGAATCATAGTAGATGAGATGGAAATAGAGAGAAGACATCATGTACAAGAAAAAATACATTACACTTCTAGTGGTTGAGGATTCTCTGAAAATAATCTCTCATTAAGAAAGTATTATTGTCAAGTACACCATCTATACTGGACTACTCAAACTTGGGGACTTAGTAGTACACAACTTAAAGTCCTTCCTGAGTTAATTACCAGTCTCCAATGAACATATATAAAGTTTCAAGTAACAATAATAACTGAAGGGAAAGCCTAATGAACCATAACCATGCATAGACAAAACTAAAGACTTAATCACAGTCTTTAAACTAAACCTACCCCTATGACTGAAAATAGAATATTAAGTACAGTTTAGCTTACTAATCCTAATGAACTAAAATCATTATGATCTAGTTAAAAGTTGGACTATAACAATCAGGCCAGATAACAATTTTTGTGCAAACCAGTGCGATTTGTGCATCTTTTAACTTGTGGTTCTATTTTTTCGGCATATCACTTGTGGATTTTACTATTGCTTGCATTAACAGGCCTTTTCAAATATTCATGTTACCTCATTTTTGAACTAAAGGCAAAAGAGTTCCAAACCTCAATTCCTCATTAGCCTTCCTCCACTTATTTAATCATGGACAAGATTCATCCTCCAAACTTAAAGTCTTGCAATTCTCAAATTTTAATGCAGATTGAATCTAGTGAACCATTTCTTGAAGTGCTCATTTTTCATCCACTAATTTATTAAGATGTTTTTTGTATTTTGATCTCTACTTGGACCTGATTATGACTATGCTTTATTCAGTCAACAGAAAATCTTTGTCATGCAAGTATTTGAGTTGCATAGACTGATTAAGGTAATTGCCAGACTAGATATTCTTGACAGTTTGTTCTATCAAATATATGTGTCTTGTTTTTAACTCATAGTAACTAAATTATTTATTAGAAGCAGGTGCAAAGATTAATCGCAGGCTCACCTCATATATTGCTTGAAGATAACCTTTTACTTAACAAGCCACCACCAAAAACATCCACAACCAAGAAATTACAATCTGATGACTTTGTCGGTGAAAAACCATCCTCAGTTGTTAAACTTGACAGCAAATCTGGGAATGCCCCTCCTACCGAGCATGTTACAAACAATGCATTTGGGAAGATTCCCATTCCTTGTGTCAACAACATAACCAAAGGCCATGCTAATCAACTGCCAAACTACAGCCATCATTTAGGAAACCTTGCAGTAGCCTCTGCAGATTCAAATTCCAAACAGTCCCCAAGCTATGTCTACCCCCCACCAGGAAACCAGTGGTTAGTTCCTGTCATGTCCCCATCTGAAGGCCTAGTATACAAACCAATCATAGGGCCATGCCCTCCAAATGCAGGCTTCATGGCACCCATATATGGCACTTGTGGCACAGTGAACTTCAATCCAGGAAGCAAGGATGCTTCTTTAGATGCAGCTCTTGCTCCAAGTTCTCAACAAAAGTTTGGACTCCTTTCTGGTCCATCTTTACCCCAGTTTTTACCACCACCATTCGTGCCTCCATCTTCTATATCAGCTTCAGCTGTTGAGCAAATGGGGCAGTCTAATGGCCCGGAAAATCACCACTCATGTGGAGAAGTCAATTCTGCCATACTGCACCAAAGCTCATCTAACATCTCCAGCCCCACTAGTCAAGTGATGTCAATAAACATTTCAACTTACCATTCGGTGAAAGATAAAGAATTGCAGAGAAGCACAGCTAGCAGTCCATCCAAGAGGACGAGTGGAGAATTGCTTCCTTTGTTTCCTTTGGCACCAACATTTTGTCACACAGAAGATAGGAGCACACAGGTTGAACAACAGCCACGGGTAATCAAAGCTATGCCTCACAATCCAAAATCAGCTACTGAATCAGCTGCAAGGATATTCAGATCAATACAAGAAGAAAGGAAGCATTTGTAACTAATGACATAGTCTGTCCCATGACATGGCATGTCTGTTAATTCCAGATATTTCTAGTTTGTCAATATACTTTCCCTGACACTCTAACACTGTATCTATAACCATTTTTTCTCTGGTAAATATACCTGCAATGTATTGATAATAATACTCAGGACTTTTAAGGAAGAGGCACATGCATGGGTGGAAGCTGAAGCAGCATTGTAAATTCATGATACTAAATTTGTACCAACCACTTGAAGAAATGTAGACACCTCATGCAGCTAGCTCTGCCATGTACAAAGAAGTTGTCATCCGGGAACAAAACACACTCTAGCAAGGCAACTGCAATAATGTACACACTTAATTTTTTTGATACGTGTACACACTTGATTATTTACACATCTGATTTTTTATTTTTTTTTTGTATTTTGATTAATAGAAATAAGTCACAACCATGGTGCTATTATTTTATAAACTAGAAAGAGAGGATATAAATTATCTTCCCTTTTCTTTCTTCTTTTTTTTGTCATCTTTTTTACTTTATTTTAAAAATATATTCAATTTTGTTATAAATAAAAAATAATTCTCCTCATCAGCAAGTTTTGTAAATTATATTGAAACATTAATATAATATAATAGAATATAATATTTTGTGGTGGCAATTGTTTCGGTAGCCTTATTTGTCCTAAGGGCGTATGAAAGGTCATGTATCAAAGGAGGAAAGATATTTTAGAGAAAATATCATTTAAATGATATAAAAGTAGTTAAATTTGTTTATATTTAAAAAATAAAAAATGTAAAAAGAAAATATTATTAAATAATATAAAAGTAGTTAAATTAATTTATATTAAAAAATAAAAAATATATAAAGAAATAATAAAACTGTTTGCTTATAATAGATTATAGAAAGAGTACTAATTATCCATAACATTGTAAATTTTTTAACTTAAGCTCTAGAGTATCTTGTATGTAGTTTGTCCAATCAAGAGATTATCATTATCATTTAATATATTAAATATTAAAGGAGAAAAAGGATAGGAAGCTTTCCATTTTTGTTGGAAAACTTCAAGTGTCTCTTTTCCGATAGGTACATCTTTCATTTTTTTTTCTTTATTTTTGTTTGTTATTTTTTTCCTTTATTTTAAAAATATGTTAAATATTATTATAAATAAAAAAGATTATTTTTCTCAAGTGCAAGTTTTGTAATATATATACTTTTAGTTATGAAATATAATATAATATTTATTTATTAGACATATTTAATTATTTTTATAAATATAAGATATAATATTCCTCGACCAAATCATATTTTCATAATTATAGTTTAAAATTATACGATGCTAATGCAGGTATCTAGCTGGAATTTGCCATATCAAAAGAAAGAGAAACCTTGTCACTCTCTTTTTTTTCATCCCAGCGACATAGAGTTTCTTAACTGTATGAATATTTTTATAAAAATATCTTTATTAAAATAACTTCATTTTTATAATTTATAAATTTTAAATAATTATAAAAATATCATATCTTAT